ACATGCCTCTCAGGTTTGGACATAAGCTGCAAAGGAGATAAAACACTTTTGTCACTTCACTTTTTTCAACTAAACAAACTGCAAACCAAATTTTATAGGAACCTGCATTATATTTGCAATGACTGTAATTAACAAAATAGGCCTTATAGTGCACAGATCTCCTTTCAGTAATTCAGTCTACATCGGAAACAAAGTTTCTCCTCTGCTGCAGCATCCAATCCCACTCCACTCCCTCATCTCCAGTCTTGCCCTTTGAGACCTTCCTTGTGTAGAACGTGGCCAATCTAGGCCTCACAATTCAGTTAAGCTTCTCAAACCATGTGCATAATGATATGCCAAGCTGTTAGTGCAAAGCCTCCTGTTATGACACCCACTGTATGCTGGGGAAAGAAAGGGAATAAACTACTTCCCCAGTGTGTTTCTCTCATTTAAGGCAATTTAGATGCAGGCAAAATGTGGTGTTTTGATTAAATGCTCTAATAAATACAAATAATAAACCATTTTAAAGCATTCTGTAACCATATACTAAACATTTTATTCCATCTGCCTCTGCAAGTTTGCTTCAGAATCTAGTAGGTACTTGTTTAGTGTGCGTTAATCACTTGCAACTGGATCTCCCTCTCTTATTTTCATGGGTAATTGGCTACGCAGCACATGGAACCGGCAAGTGACACAGAGGAAGGGGAACACTGGGATGGAAGCAAGCTAGAACACTTAAGCATGTCAAGAATGTTCCCTCTCCCTTCAGTTACTGTTTACTTATTTTCCTCTTTCCTCAAATGCACTATGCTTTGCTCAACCATTTCTCCCCATTTATTTATTTATTTGAAAATATCATCTTGAGCCATGCAGGTCTTTCCTCAATCTCTCCTTGTCTCTCCTTAATTTTCCTCCTCATTCTCACTCTCCCTCAGTCTGTAAGTGCACCCATATCTTGATAAGACCCCTGGAAACACTTGTACAGTTTCCTGGATGGTCGTAGTGATGGATTTACACAGTATCAATCAGAGCAAATGTGGGGTTCGAAATAGCCTTCCACTTCTGGTGAGAGTTGTTTTTGAGCAGTGGGTCATAGAGCTCACCAAGAACAAGGGTGATGCAAACATCTTCAATCACACAGCATGGCTTTGAACCATAGCTTCCCTGTTCATGTTTTTTTTTTTTTTTAATAAGAATATTGCAGCCAAGATTATAAGTCTTCACATAAATGAAAAACGTGGTTACAATGATTAAAAAAGAGATCAAAGAATTATGGGGTACCTGACAACCACCTCAATTGAAGATGAGTCATCCCTGGTGACGCATTATCTAGCATGAAGAGCGTTTCACTTGCTCCCTTCAACTAGACGAGCTGAATTAGGTCACGCTTCTCTGACCTCGGGGCATTATCCTGTAATTTGTCGCTCTGCATGGCTACATTTGTTACCTTGTTGACAGCTAATGTTAGAAGAAAGCAATTTTACCTGATGAATGATTGTAAGAGAGGGAGAGCCTTTCCAATGAATTATGCACAACCAAATCCCATTCAGTAGATGCCCGAATTAGCAGCGTGTGCTACTTCACAAATATACTATGTGCTTTGCATGCGAGTTTATGATTACCAGAGCTGTGAGGACTTTTTAACTTGTCAGAATGTGCATGATGCCTATTGATTACCACAGTATTTACTTGTTCTCTTAAATCAAATATGCTGCCAGTCCATCCATTATCACTGCATTATGAAAAATAGTTTACATATTTTCAAGCAGCAAAGCTTGACCGACTGATTCATAGGTCTCAAGCTGTTCATGATCAGAAATCAATCAGTCATGCTCCTCTGGCATGCATTTTATCTGCTGGTGGCAATGGGGCCTCATCAATTTTGTCATTTTAAGCCAAATCAATACCGCTTCCCCACCAACCAAACACTTCTGAATACCAACCCCCCACCCCCTGTCACTAAGTTGAACATTTCAATCAATATCCCACTGCAGGCTAAAAATGTGCAGAGGCAAAAAAAAAAAAAAAAACTACAATCATTCTTGGTAACACTTTATTTTTACAGGTCCACTATTTCCAAATAATTTCTTGAAGGTTCCCTGTAAAGAACCAAGTAGTTTGGTACTAATTACAGACAAAAAGGCAAAGTTCTAAGACTTTTTTTGTTAGTTCATTGACTTGTGTTGTTCATTATTGACTACCAGATCAATTATCATGAAAGAAATAGATCAATTAAAATGAGCCTTTTATTTATTATTTGAAATGTTTTTCATTTATGCTCGACACTTGGCGTGTATAGTTCACCTTGTCTGCTGAATAAAAGCCTCAAGTGTGTGCTTAGCATTTAGAAGTGTACCAACAGCTCACTCTGTATTTTTACCTAAGATTTGTGCTAAATTATAAGGCTCTTTCTGGGAGACTTCTTAGGAAATAAACTAGAATTTACAGACTTGTAAAATAGTGTTGTTGAGTGCTGTACAGTACACTGAAGATGACAACACACATGCAGGAACAGTGTACATTCATGTTAAATGCTTCAAGTCTAAAGAAAGTAACATTTCTCTGAAAGCAGCAACATGTTTGCAGGATTGAATGTGCATTTCTATCATTAAATCTCATGGCCTGATCATCAAAAAATTAAAACCCCATTTAAACTCAGGTTATCACTGCTCAGTTAGTGCTACAATACAATTAGTAAAATAAAAAAGGATTTTATCTTTAAACAGAGCTTTTCCAGCAGCTTTATCCCCACAGCCCCATTAAACACTGGACAATTTTCATGTATGGCCTGCCATCAGTTTCCAGACTGCTCTAATCCACGAGAGCAAGCCTCTGGCCAATGTACCTGTAAATTAGTCTGCCTAAAAAAAACATTCATTTAGCTCAGAGAGAGAGTTTTGATGTGTGCATCTAAGTGCTTGGCCCTGGAAATGATTGCATTAAGGATTATGACACAGACCTCAATTCCCTCATGCATATTTGACACTTCTCGCAGCACAGGCAGCCCCCTGTTGCAGCTACCAGATGATGTTTGGCACAGCGTTGCATACTGTAGCTACCATGTTATGAGTGGGTATGTGGTGAGCACACCCCCGTATGTGCCTGCCTGTCTGAGCATGTGTGCGCTCTTATCTTGAGCCAGCCAGGGTGAGTGTAGGGCCGGGTGGTCGGGTTTCCTAATTGTTGCGATTACTCCTACAATTCGTGCCCTTAGAGGCTGGTGCTGCCCTCTCCTGTTAATCTGTGCCAGGGGTTTGGCTGGATTGACACAGAACTGACCTCACAGTCCTTTTGGGGGTGCTGTGCAAACCAACACACACTCACAAAAAAAAGTAGACAGTTGGATAGCAGTCACTTATACACTTGAACACATACACAACCAGACATACAGTCTCAGGCAAGTGAGAGAAACTGATATGGAGCCAGCCAGACGAATGCACACACACATCTGCACACAGTCTTGGTTCAAAGAGCTGCATCTTCATTTTAAATATGGTTCTGGACAGCATCGATAAGATGGAGAGGAGTTGGTAGTGTTGCTGGTGGAACAGCCTCTGACAGTGGTGTGTGTGTGTGTGCGGGCGTGTGTCGGTGTGTGTGTGTGTGTGTGTGTGTGTGCGCGCGTGTGTGCGCTTGCAGATACCATGTAGTTTAGGAGTGTGTGCTAACATTATCAAAGTGAAAAGTGAGGTTGTTGATATCAAGTGCTTGCACGTTGCTATACATGATGTTCTAATTGTCTGACACTGGATCTGATAGGGGAATGTTTGAGACACTACCTTTATTTATCATCTCTTTACATTTACAAGGTTATAACAGCAAAGCACACGGTTACCTATGTCCACACCTAGCAGACATTGAGCAACACTCACTCGAGGTCCTGTTTCTGTTTTGATCTCCTGAAGGAAAAATCTGGCTCTTCAACTGCTAAATGTTCAACTCTGTTCACCAGTTAACTTCATCTTTCTGCCATTGGTGCTGAGCAGGTAGCGAATGAGTTATTCACAGCTTTGTTTCAAGCAGCTGCCTGCTCTTGGAAATGAAGCTGATGAGACTCTGACAATAGAACCAGAAGAATAACATAGTGGGCAGTAAAACCAAAGTAATAAATAGAAAGACATAAACACTATAGTTCACAGGACGACTGTAGAGTAGATAATATATTTGATCCTTGTATAAAAATATGATTAATGTAGTTTAAAATAAAGACCAAAGTTGTGACTGGAGGTCTTTTAAATGAAACTGAATGATATAAATAAAAAAGTGAGGCATGATTCACACTGTAATTGGAATACTATAAAGTTCAAATAACAGGTAAATGCTGCATCTAAAACATCTCATGTCACCATGAATGACTACTTACCTGACAGTTTGAATATTCCTTCTGCAATTCAGTCCATCGTGTGCTCTAAAGTCCCCTGATGCTAACTGCTACACGCGTATATCCCAGTGTGAGCGTAGCACAATACGCAGTGCGTGTGAGGATTTACACGTCATTACTGAGCTCATTTGTTTCTATTCATGTAGGACAAGCTTTTGTCCATTGACAAGTTAGAAAATGTCACATACTCATGCTGTCATAATGGTCCAAAAATTCCACCCATCTTTGGACTTCAGTGCACAAAATCACAGGTAGACAATATCATTCATTTGGAAAATTGCTTGTATACATAATAAGCACATTATTTCAAATGGATGATGAATACTTAATGATCCTGCCAGCCTTGGAGAAGTGACTAGGCTACAGGTACAGTATGCAACACAAAAAGTAATTTGCATGTACAGTATGTACATTTCATAGGACAATCACCAGCACTGACCGGGAGCAGGCGATTTTGTTAAAAAAAAAAAAAAAGCAAGGGTATAATCAATGTGTAACAGAAAATATTTGAATTCGGGGGACATAA